TGAAAATACTTATCCCACATGCAATACTCGGCAACCTCATCAAGTTTTACATCGAATAATTCACAGATAGGCAGAAGGGGCTATACAAATCGTATTCGTTACACGGTAACATGAAAATTCAGAGAAGCAATTACAAATTTGAGACATATTAGACTTACTAGTGCAGGTCATCAGAAACTTGGGAACTTCGAATCCCCCAAAAATATTTCGGCTTCAAATTCTTTTTTGTGGCTGTAAAGAGCCAACCCATATGGGTTTCGCAGCCCGCACAGTTTGTTATTGTCCACGCATACCTGCAATACCGAGCAAACTCGCAACTTAGCAACTCCATAATACTACAATTCTTATGTCACATTCAAATCAGAGAATGATCAAGCTTTTACGAAGCCTATCTTAAACTAACTTGCTATAAAGTGACAGAAATGCCAGAGATATCCAAAGGGTGTGAATAATATAATCAAACATTTGGCTTAAATTTGCTATCATTGCAGCTAGAAAACGATTTAATTCATACCTGATAAGTTCTAGTCGTTCCATATAAAATAAGGAAAACTAATGAAAAGGGCTTGAAAACTTTGAGTTTTAATGATAAGGACAAAATAAAGGGTAAAGTGAATAGTAACAGGATTGACTTTTTAGTGTTAAAATGTGGTTTTTCGTTAAAGTGAACAGTACCGGGTGCTTTTCGTTAAAGTTCCCTATAAAATATGATCATGATATACCTTTTTTTTTTTTTGTTTGTTTTAAAAATTACGAACTTCCAACATATTGTGAGATGGATAGCTTCGAATCCCTATAATTCTCTTTTCACACGTAGACTCTAAAGAAGTTTATTAGTATGTACTTGAAAACCATTAAGGGGCCAAATCAAGACACACTAATCAGTGGCCTTAATGACGATCAGTGTACTAAAAAGTTGATGAAAATGCACAAGAATTGGCGTTCTTCAAAATAGTAAATTGATCAGAGAATCTGAAGAATATTAAGGTACAAGTCCATACCCAGGAAACCAGCTGTATTCACTCGTTGGTGGTCCTATAAGTGCCAAGCCATTTGCTTTGTAGAAAGTCATTATCTCATGAACGTGGCCACCTGGGTTCACGTAAGCACCAAGAGGACCTTCACTTGACATCACCAGCATATTACTCCGCCTGGCAATGATAGTCTGCATTGTATACCCAAAACATGAGTAAATAAAACACACAACGGGTAAAGGATATGTACTTTTGAATGCAAGCACACGTGCAGTGTTCTGAAGTAAGTACAGTACCTGACATGTTTTACACCGAATAAGATCAAAACTCTGAAGCAACTCAATTTCTCTACGCAACCTATATGAAATGCCATCAATCTCCAAAAGCTCCTGCCTTGTGGATTCTGAGACGGGGATTTTACTAGCGATATAAAATGACAAAAGATCAGGCTTCTTCACAAGACGATCCATGCTTGGTGCCCCAACTATCTCTTTCCACATATCTGCAATACCAGAAATTGACAAAACTCTGTAAAGCTGAATCCTCAAACATGACAGCACACAAGCAATTCTAAGATTGTTTCAAACAATTCTAATAATTCTAAGATTGTTTCACATCCATTATAAAATTAATCAAGAAACTGCAACGAAATGTTTTCAGTTAATAATAACATATAAAACTTAATATGTAACTGCCTGATCCTTTTTCATTTTTAGTTCTAGACAGTGGTAATATCTTCTAACATATTAAGGATCACAACTTTCAAACATCAGGTGTGAACCCAAAGTAAAAGTCAAATACCTGCTGCTCTTTGAGCAAGACAATAGGAGTCGTACATGCGGTATACCCAATGGGGCCAGAATGCTCTTGGAACTCTACGAAACTGATTTAAGTCCGTATTTCTCCAACATTTATTTGGCTCTTTCTGTTTGCAGGATTGCATGTCTGACATGGAACTGCTTGCCAAATCAGCATTACTAATCTCAGGGCATGAATGCAATGAATCTGAAGAATCAGAGTCTTTTGATTGCAATTGTAAATGTGATTTCTCATCATCACTGCTTGAAGTTGTTGATTCTTCCATTGTATCAGATCCAGAATAGGAACCAATTGCAGATTGGTGAACTTCTCTCTCAGTCAATGACAATGCACTCTCAAAGCTTTCATCCGAATTTGTCTCTGCATCATTGTCCACATCCATAGATCCATTTGACTCTGCACGAGAATCATTTAAAGGCAGTTTAACTGAGAAATTATGGCCTCTTGGATTACTAAATGGTGCCAAATCTCCGAATGCATCCCGTGGGGCCCTCAATGGTATATCTTCCTGGATGATTTGGACTTCTCCACATGGCTGACAGATGAAAATTTCACACCAAGTAAGACACTAAATATATGAATATGACCAAATAAAAACAAAAGGTTACCAAATGAACATCTCTCTCAAACATAAAAAAATTCTAACCGCTCCTTCCACATCAATCCAACGGCGTCTTAGACGAAATCTCTGTTGGCCACGAGTTACCACATTCAGTGAGCCATCTTCTAATCGCCGATATTGCCGAATCTATAAAAAAGAAATATAAATAGTTGATTAACCCAGCAGTTATAAATGAAATAGCATAGGTGACACAACTTAACAGTTTCTACTTATGAGCAGTAGAATACACTTAATATACCTCTGCGGTTGTCCCAACATTCGCAAACCTTATTCTTCCATTATCAGGATCTCTGAATACCCGAATCTGAACAAAAAATTTCAGGGTAAAGTACAATGAAACAATACATAATGAAATCCAATGCAGGGGCAAAACAAGTCATTACTTGTCACAAGGAGTTCACCTACCACGCCAATGGTATAAGGAGCATCAACTTGGGTTAGTGCTCTCTCAATAGATAGTACAAAATTCGGTTGAATAACTCTTAAGGGAAGGGTTGCTTCTGGGAAGAGGACAACTCCTGCATATTAGATAAAACCAAGTTCTCTTTAACATAAAAAAAGTAGTTTATACTTTATACAAACATAAAAGAATATGAGGAAAATGATAACAAAAACAAGACCAACAGCAGGCTTCACTTTGATTCTCTTCTATTTCTCATTCATTCCACTTGCTCATTAGGAAAAAAAAAAAAAAGGTTTAGGGCTAGCAGTTACTTGATTCTATTGATTTTTTTAGATAATTTTACCAAGCAACTAAATACTTAAGACACAATGACGTTAAGAAAAAAAGGCTCTTGTAACATGATAACATCTGTCCAGAACAATTTTATTGATATAGAGCATTCAAATGACAGTCTTTCTTTTTTATCATCTAACAATAATCTCGAAAATGATTGCTCTGTGCTTACAATATGCTAGTGATCTAACTGTCTCTCAACCTCCTATTATTCCATCGTACGTTCAGTTTTTTCCTTAAAAAAAATTTCTTCACTGCCAAAATGGCTATACGACTTTGCACCACATGGCTACCTGTGGCTAATGCAGTTATGCTAAAATGCCAAGCATATTCAACAGCTACCAAGAGGAGAAACCGAGGTTTGAAATCATTTATCAATCAAATGCAAAATGATAGTACCTTCGAGATAGAAAATAGGGAGCTTCAAGACGGCGCCCCCATCAAGAAAAGCCACCCTGTGATGAGTGTCTTCAACCTCTGTTTCAATTAAAGTGTAACTAAACATCAACACTTTGAATGGAAAATTGGGAACAAATAAGTATAAAAATGGAAGTAAAAGACCAAATGCCTACCACCAAGATACGTATGCAACGAAGCCAAACAGGTATCGAAGGCATAATCATCGGACGTGCGGCGACCACTTCTCTCAAACAACAAATCAATGGGATAATCAAATAAAAACACAAAATTTCATCTCAATCAGACTGTTATTCCTCATGGAAAATTCCAAAATAATGTATTGATCACACTATATGTATAAAAAAAAGTGTAACAAATTATATATAATCAACTAACAACACTGATATGACGAAAATTCAAATAAAAACATAAAATACCAAAATTGAGTTTGCTACTCGTCACATAAAAAATTCGAAACCCTAGTTCCCAAATTAATCAAACAAATTGAAATTCTGACGAGTTAGAGGAGAAATGGGGGAAATGATGATTACGTAGCGTCGCGGTCGTCGCCGGAAGAGTCGTCGTCGACCTCTTCGACCTGCAGTTCTTCGAGATCGAGTTGCCGGATCTCCTCCATCTGCCGCTGCTCTCGCGCCAGAATTCGATCGTAGTCCATCTCTATCGCACTGTGGGAATTGGGTTTGGCTCGTTAGGGTTTTTTGCTTGGAAGAATTGAGAAGTTTGGAGCGACTATGTCTTTTTCTCCCACTCTTCTGAAATTCCCAGTTAAGCTGCTTCACTGATCTTGAACACTTTTTTTCTTCACGCCGTCGGTGCCGACGTGTCACACATAATATTTAGTATGACGGTCTATTTATATTTTTTTCGTAAATAAAAAAATTTAATTTTTATTAAAAACGAATTTAAACAATGTTGTTGTTAGGGCTGGTTTGGTATTGTTGTACTTAAAAAAAAACTGTTGTAAGAATAAACGGTTGTGCTGTGAGAATAAGCGGCTGTGAAATAAATTAGCAAAGTGTTTGGTAAACTTTTTTGTAAAAATGTTTTTGGAAAAAAAAACAGTCTGATAGTGGATCTTTTCATTAAAGGAGTACTGTAGCTCTGTGTGCTTTGAAAAAAAACCAGTTTTCCAAAGCTACAAATAGCAGCTTCAGCTTTTTCCTTTGATTTCAGCTTATTCTTACAGCAGCTTCCAAAATAAGTTTTTTTTTTCAGTTTACCAAACACCTAAACCCCTCCTAGCTTTTTTCTATAGATGTTTTTTTTTAACACCTTACTCCCAAACTACCCCTTAATCTGAGAATAATATCATTTGTTAAAAATATAGGGCCAAAAAAACATTAATTTTCGTAAAAAATGAAAGAATCCCCGTTAACCTGGTCACGCCGTCAGTGGGTCTCTCTGAAATTTCGTCTGGCAGCCGTTAAACCCTCTTATCAGCAGTTGGTTGTGGCCCCCATAGAAAACAGCTCGCCGGATAAAATTTTCGAAGCCGCGAAAATCAAAGGAAAGGCCATCATGGGTCGCCTAGTCCTCTCCCACTTCCTCACCGTCTCCACCGCCTCTTCTCCTCGCCTCGCATCTTCCCTGTACTCTCTCTCTCTCTCTCTCTCTTCAATTTCCTCTTCTACTGTTCATTCGCACTTTCAAGTGATGATTTTTCTTGAAGCAGGTGTGCTGGTGGATTTCGAATCCGGCAATGGAAAGCGCATACTTCAATTCCGCAGATTCGGCATCAAAGCGCGCGAAACGCCAGCGGTTTTCGGTGCTGCTGCAGCGTTTCGCTCTCGCAGCCCGCTGCTCCGGAGACTTCTCCCAGCTCTGTAAAGTAATCCTTACTATTATTTGATTGTTGGTTATGTGCATTGTGGTTACAGATTGAGGATTTTACTTCTTTAATGTTCAAAGTTTTTGGCTTTTCGATTTACACACTCATGGGTTTTCATCTGTTTGATGGTGTTGAGAGTGTTTTTTTTTTAAAAGAGATGGTGTTGAGAGTGTGAATCCCGCAGCGGCGACTAAACCCTTGCTTAAATCCATGTACAGCTTCAAATGAGTGCAATTGTATTTCAATTGTTGTTTCTTAGAAAAAATTCACATTCTTTTGTTTGTTTCAATTTCGTTAATAGTATGTAAGTTCCATGCACTATTAAGTTTAAGCATGCTTATGTATACTTTCTTGTTTGCATTGATGCCAAATTCTTCACTGATGTAATTTGAAGTAGTTTTGTTTTTCAGGCATGCTCAAGGGCCTGTAGTTAACAAATATATCCAGTACTAATCGGATTTATATTCAATCTCATTGGATCTTTGATTTATAGGAAGAGGATAGTGTCTGGAGTCCAACCGACGGGTTCAATCCACCTAGGAAATTATCTTGGCGCCATAAGAAACTGGATTTTGCTACAGGTAGCACCAAATTGATTGCTTTGGAAAATATTGCTTTGCATATTGTATATATACACTATATGGTAAGCTAATATGCAATGACTCTTATTTTGTTGCAGAATACATACGATACTCTCTTTTTTATTGTGGACCTTCATGCGGTATGGCTTTCCAGTTATTTTAACTTTTTTTTTAATTTCCATTTTGGTTACTTCTGCACATGGTGCCATAGTTAGAGCAGAATCATTCCCTCTTTTTATCCATTGATGTATGTTTTTTGCAACATTCTATGTAGCATCCACAGAAATAACTTGCTGCTCATAAATTTAAACAAATAGAACAGCATGCATTGTCTTCCTTTTTGGGTTGTGGCTGTGAGAACTGTAAAGTTCTATCTTTTTTCTCTATTCTTTCTCTCTCTAAAGCATTCACGTTGTTAAGACTTGAATTTTCAAATTCATTCGCCAAAGTGTCCTGCTTTTTGGTTCAACATTTGTAGATATTTGAATTTATAGAGAAAGATTGAGGGTCAGGGTTTGTTTTCCTTCTTATAGAAGGGATAGGAATAATGAGTTTATCTTTAATGTTTCAAAGTTTTTGCTTACAGATTACATTACCGTATGATGCACAACAACTATCCAAGGCAACGAGGGATACAGCAGCTCTTTATTTGGCATGTGGAGTGGATACCTCCAAGGTCTAGTCAACTTTTAGTCCTTTGTGCTGTTGTTTAGAAGATTGTACTTTTGCTGAATATTTTACTTATGATTTGTATGTGCAGGCGTCTGTCTTTGTGCAGTCTCATGTTCGTGCCCATGCAGAAATGATGTGGCTTTTAAGTTCAGTCACACCTGTCGGTTGGCTAAACAGAATGATTCAGTTTAAAGAGAAATCACGCAAGGCGGTGCGTTTTTAGCTGTACGAAAGCTCCATCATGGTTCTGTATCTAATCAACTGAAAAGTGCTTTCAATGATGACATGCCTTACATATAATACATACTTATAATTGTTGTCCATTGTCTTTATCGGTCTCACCCTGTTCTTAACTTTGTAGTTTGACATATGCCTTGTACCATGCTGTGTAGATTGTCATTTGTCACTACTAATGTGCATTACATTTCAAATTGGGTTTCTTCATAGAAATAGCTTCAAATTGGTTATCATTACAGATGCTTACATGTTACTATCTACACTTGAAGTAAATCGCGTTGTTTTGTTTTGGCTATTGTAGGGGGACGAAAATGTTGGTGTTGGTCTTTTGACTTACCCTGTTTTGATGGCTTCTGATATTCTTTTATATCAGGTAAACTTCAAAACTTGCAGCTCTATAAAGGATATAAAATTTTATATCAGGTAAGAATTGAATTGCGAGTAAGGAGGTATAATAATCTGGAGCACTTAAAGCAGTGCTTTTTTGTGCACTTGTTGCACTATGCGTATGGTAGATTAATCATTAAACTATATGTTATTCTTATATTTCCCTGCATGCTTCTGTAGTCTGACTTTGTCCCAGTTGGTGAAGATCAAAAGCAACATTTGGAGTTGACACGTGAACTGGCTGAGCGTGTTAATCATTTATTTGGAGGAAGGAAATGGAAAAAATTGGGAGGGTGAGAAGCTATAGCACAACTTAAACTTACAAATATCCGTTTAACGTGTTCACCCTATCTCTGCATTGACTTCTTTACCAAAAGTCTCTGTGTAGAACTTGACCCTTAATATTTATATGTTGTTGCAGGCGAGGTGGTTCGATTTTTAAGGTAGATTTATTTATTTATTTATTTATTTTGTTGTTGTTGATAGCCCTTAACTTGAGCTCATCAATAACATAAGTAATACAAATGCCCTTTCTTTATTAGGTTCCTGAGGCTCTTATACCACCAGTTGGAGCTCGAGTGATGTCCCTAACTGATGGTCTTTCCAAGGTGATCTACGTTTTGAGTTCTCATATAATTACATAGTGCAGTATAATTTATATTATTTTCTGCTTAAATTATTATGTTATTGTGGTGAAAATACATATATTTTTGTAGCATCAAAGGAGAAAATGAGTAAAAAAATTGCAGGAAAAAATGTTAAGACCATCTACCAAAACCACTTGAAGTACTAAAGGGATGTGATAGGGATTTGTTTTTATAGTTTTCAATGCTTTCCAGTAGAAGAATGGAAAATAGAAACGAGGACTTCCAAATACTCCCATATTATATCCTGCTATAATTTCTTTTTGTACAGATTTTTCAAATGACCAATATAATTGTGTAACATAAGTTTCTAAAGTATACCAATTACTTGACGATATGAACAAATTCATCATCTTACAATTTCCGTTTGCCTTGTTACTATTATTATCATAACATCTCAAAGTAGTATGTAAGAATGAGATCCTTGAATATCAGAATTAAAAAATGTAGGGTAAACGGAACACATGATCGAAATTCCAGCTATTCCCTAATTGGACTCTTATGACTAGTTCCCACCTATTTGTAGGCATGTGTTAAGTATGCTTTAACTTCTAAGTATTATCATCAGTTATATGAAGAAGAGTCTTCTTCTTATGCTTACTGACATTTTTGGTTTCATTGTCATAGATGTCCAAATCTGCACCTTCTGACCAGTCCCGAATCAATCTTCTGGACCCAAAAGATGTGAGAAACACAAATTTATCTTTCTCATGGAAAGTTCGTTAGGCCTCCTATTTTTCGTTTCCTATTCTATTCCAGTTTTGTTTTAGTTTTCTCATCAACTTGATCTAACTGTCTTCATTGTTCTGTAGGTCATATCAAACAAAATAAAGAGGTGCAAGACTGACTCATTTTCAGGGTGAATACCTATCCTCATCACTTCAAGCTTGTCTTTAGATGTTATCCTTCATTGATATTAATGTAGTGTTGGAGTCATAGTTCTGTTTTGTTATTTGTTTATTGATAGGTCTGATAAACTAATCTATGTTGTTTTTTGTTTCATATGGTAATTCTTGTAGTATGGAATTTGATAATCCTGAAAGGCCTGAGTGCAACAACCTTCTGTCAATATATCAGCTCGTTTCGGAAAAGACAAAAGAGGTAATAAATTTCATTTGAGTTTTCATTAGGTTAATGCCTTTGATTATACATAGATGCATATACATAAACTTCTGCTCGTGAAAATTTGAGTACCATATGGAAATGACTGACAACTTGTTAGTTAAGAAAATTACTGTTATTTCTCCAAAAACAAAAAGAAAGAACATTACTAGGAGGTTTGAGATATCTTACCGTGGTAAACCTTTATTGTTGCAGGAAGTTGCACAAGAATGCCGAGACATGAACTGGGGCACTTTCAAATCAGTCCTATCTGATGCGTTGATTGATCATCTGCATCCTATCCAGGTTTCAATATCCACTTCTCATCCTTTTTGATCGGTCATGTTTTCAGGACGGTTAATATGCATTATTATGCCTATTGATGGGAGCTCGTTTTCTTTCTATTGGTTGGTACAGTGCATATATTATCCTTCTACACTAGTGATAGTGCATGCTTAATGTTTTTCATAGTTTGGGTTGGAACTGCCATCATGCATTAGGTGTTTGATTCTATGCTTTATGTGAACCATCTGTGCAGGTATGTAGTTTCCTGTTTTCCCATCTCTTCATAAATTGAAAACAAAAATCTCCATGTACTTCCAAAGGCATGTTTATGCTTTTTAAGCGACAATCATTAACCCCGACTCAGCTATACTCCTGACACGATTGGCTTTTAGTTATTAGGAAATGGATTTTATTGCAAGGGATGCACAACTGCAAATTTATGTGAATGAGTTGGCAGGGAATATAGTAGTGATTGTTGTTAATTGTTATGCATCAAGTCTGGTTATATTTCTTCGTGTGTGTATATTTCGTAATCTGCTTTATGTCTGCACCTTTGTATTGTTCGTCAAAGATATATTTTCTGCTTTTGCAGGTTCGCTACGAGGAAATCATTTCTGACTCAGCTTATTTGGATGGAATTTTGGCAGAAGGTGCTAAGACAGCTGCAGGTATAGCTGATAATACTCTCAATAATGCCTACCAGGCTATGGGATTCTTGCGGAGATGAGCGGAACCCATGCTGCTGGAAGAATTCATTTGAAAGGACCAGTAAGATAGAAACTTTAAAGTTAACTTTGGAGAATGGATGACCCACAAATTATTTTTTGGAGCAAAACAACCAACCATAAGCATATTCTTGATGAGTGAAAACTGAAAAGATATTTTAATGGGAAGGCCTCGAATATTTAATTGTTGCAGTTGCCACCATCCAGATAGGTATTTTTTTTCATGTATTACTTATATTATTCCGTGAATTGGTAGTTTACCCCACTTTAAAATGTAATGTAATGTGATTAGTTCGTAAATTATTATGTGATTTGTTCGTTCTTACAGTAGAATTTTAATCCGCGTAGAATCATCAAACCGTTATTAATTAGTTGTTCCACATCTTTCCACAATCTCCTCTTGTTAGCAATGTATTAAAAGGTGGGGGCGTGGCCAAGGCGTCCAATGGATAGCCCAGCTTAGGTGCCTCACGGAACCTAAAATTTTAATATATATTATATATATGAGTATATTTATAACAATATAATACTTTGTAAAAACAAATATAACTATAACTAAATCAAAGATAGTATCATCTTCTTTATTACTAAGTCTAGTTGTACTTAGAAACTATGTCATATAGTCTCAAAATGTTATAATTACTTATTTTATTGTAAGCAATTACAGAGAACTTCAAGGAAAATAAGGATGAATGGTCACAATTATAGGAAAATTACAAGCAAAATAAAGGCTGAATGTTGCAATTATAAGTAATTTAAAAGGAAATAAAGGCTGAGTGAAGTAGTTATAGGGTATTTAAAATGATATAAAGCAATAATTATGGGAATTAAAGGAAAGTAAAGGGTTGAGTGGAGTATTTATAGGGCATTTAAAATGAAATAAATGGGGTGGAGTATTTATAGGGTATTTAAAATGAAATAAATGGCAAAAAATAAAGGGTTGAGTGGAATATCTACAGGGCATTTAAAATTAAATAAAGGACTAGAACGGCAAAAAACATATCAGAAAACTTGGATTTTGAAGAAAAAACGCCCATATGAACACCCCGGATGCCCTGAGGCACGCCTCCGCTGCCTAGACGTGCTCCAGCAAAGCCTTCTGCCCACTCCCTCAAAACAAAGGCGGGAACACTGATACCCAGCCTTAGAGGCCGCCTAGGCGCACCCTGAGGCCAGCCTTTGAAAACACTGCTTGTTAGTGATGTGATAATTATTCAATTTTACTTGCTGAGTGATGATCACATTTCTCCAAATGTGTGCTGCTCTTAGACCTGGTGAAGCTGATTCTGGTGCTTTATATTTCTCTAGTTTTGATTAGTAAATTTGATTTTCGGAAGCTCGTATATTTCTTTAGAAGCTTAAGGTTTATCATGATTCTTATCGGCACAGTAGATAGCGATAGAGAGAATATAAATCCTTCCAATGATTGGAACAACCATAAATTCATATTCTCATCCCATTTATCCATCCACCCATGGCCTTGTTTTCTTTACAAAAGAAGAGCAGCTGTGAGCCGGTGACCACGCATTGACAGTAACGCTGACAAAGACAGTGAAAGGTCAATGGCAGTGGCACTCTCTAAAATCTTCATCTTTTTCCTCCCACCTCTCTCAGTCTCTCTTGTTATGTGGCAAGAGAATAAAGGTATGCGTCTCCTCTCTGCTCATCTTTCTCCCCTTTTAACATTTTCGTGATAATTGCAGAGACGTAGAAAGACGCGACAAGGACCACCGCGACGCTGCCTGCAAATTCGAAAAGGTTTATTCTCATCTCAATCATTGTTACTGTATGCTTTCTTGGTTACATTATACTATATTCATCTACTTGATCCCTATTTGCATATACCTTTAGAATACTAAGCTTATATTACTAAGTGCCTTGTAAAATAAGCTAGAGGTTCTTCCTTTGGGCTGCTAAGAGAAAGTTTGTGTCATCCTCTTATATGGTCTGCTGCAAATTTGTGTTTTGGCATCCCTTTATTTGATCATTGATTTGTCCCTCCTAGGCTTTACGTACGTTGTGGTATTAGTGGTGTTGTATTTCTCTTCACCTGTAAGTGGGAAATCTCCTATTCAACTCACTTTGACGGTGAATACCTAATTATTAGCCAACTCATTGTGTGACTTATATTGAAATTCTCAACTCCTAAAGTGGATCATATATTTTCACACACACACATATGGATGAAGAACAAATTGATTTGCCTTTGCTTGGCATGCTAAATATATTGGATAATTACAAAGATGATATGTGCCCAGAGTGACACGGCTCTCATAGACATCCCTCACCGTCGGCCTATTGTTTAGAAGAGAAATGCTAAGAGCAATCACTCATGCTAAACTGAGCGACTTTTGAACTTTCATACATTATGGGATGATGGATCACTTGTATTAGCAACTGGAAATTGCCAACTCGTGCATGGATGATTGTCCTTAGCAATGCTCGAAGCAGAATGAAGATGAGAGAGAGAGAGATAGAAGAATAAGCACTTGGGGAACTTGGTGAGTATATGTGCCAAGCCAACCACCACCAAGTAGAAAATAAAATCTTCAAAATCTTAAATCGTCTCACATGTGGAAAAGTGGGGAGGTATTTTTGTGCATTTGTGAGACGTTCATTTGGCTTTGCGATCACAATCTCGACGTCCTTAAGAGGAAAGAAAGATTCTAGGATTTGTTCCAAAGTTGGATCGTATGTGCTATGTGGGACAACAAAGCAGGAAGCGCAAGCGGGATGTGTGCTCTCTAACGGGCAATGCCTGTGTGACACACTTTCTCAACAGGACCATATATATGTCGTGTGGAACAAAGTTTTTTTCTCGTTTGATTTGATTTTTCGGACGTTAATATAATTTATGCTAAATTTATGAGGAATGGTGGTTCCCATTATTGGGATTGTAGTATTCCTGAATTCTTATTTAATATTTTCGCCGAAAATATAAACATTTGAATTAGAATTTAATAAAGTGTTTCCTATTTGACAAAAAAATATATATGGGAGTTTTTTTTTTTAAATTTTTATATGTAATTTATATGGAAGTTATTTGAAAACAATTTAATCTTTAGAAATTTAGTCACAAATAAAGCAAGTTTTATTCGCTGAAGAGTGTACGCTCCCCTCCAAAGATAACGAAATTGTCGAACTTGCCAACTTAGTGTTGTAGGGTTTTTCTTTAGTTTCCTCTGTTTGTTTTTCTTCACAATTAAAGATCTTTTCTTTTATCGCAAACAAGGAGAACAATCTTAAAAACACCAGCAAGTTTCAATCTAACGGTTAGCGCTCCTATGTTTTCATCCACGATTCAGTGAATTTGATTTCATTCGTTAAATGAAAAGACATTTATCGTTGTCTTCTATTTGCCTGCCAAAAGAGAGATAGTCATTACTCATTACTAGACCAAATTGGATAGAGAAGCCAAGATATTTTCACGTACCCCTCATAGATTTTTTTGTGTGCCTTTATTCACTCTCTACTCGACATGCTATAAATACGTTGGCTTGCCATGTTGCCATAATAAGGCATATCATTGAGTCATCTACTCTTACTCTACTCTAAAACGAGAGGTTTTTAGTGGGGGTTTTTTAGTCCAGTTTTTGCCTTTTTTCACATACGATTTCCAAGTTTTTCGTTTTAAACGAAGAAAATGGACAGAAACCAACTGCAGCGCCAGGTTGCCCTCAAGAGAAGCTTTCTATTTGAGCAGGTTATTAATTTGATCCTCTCTTCTTCTTTTTTTATTTTTTTTCTGTTTCAAACCCTATCTTTGGCCATTAAACATCTTGAAAATTGCATGGTGTATTCTCTACACCGATAACTTTTCGTGTTTCACCAAATGTGATGGTTTTGATATGTGGTTATTCGACTAATAAGGGTTTCCAATTTTTGTTTGGGAGGGGATTATTGGTCGGTAAATGCTAATTTTATTTAAAATCGACATGCTCTCAACTTTTGATGAATCGATCAATACATTTTCTTACGTATTTCATTTAATTTTCTCATAATTTTTATTTTTGTTACATTAGAGAATTTTGAGCTTTCAAACTTAGCCTACTTCTACCTATTTAGCCTACACCCACCCTCAACACTCCGCCAAACCTAGTGGCTTAATTTACAATCATTTTCCATTTAATACTTAATCGTTGAGGAGATGGGGTTCTATAAAGGGATCGTCCCTCTCTTTTGGTGTGGGTTTGAAAGTGACCTTTAGAAAGGCCCAAATATATTTGATGGATAAAGCGCCGAAGCCCAACATTTTAAATGTACAACAAACCCTAGCTATTTTGATCAGATTGATGGCAAAAATTCTCGGTATTGTTCATTTTAACGAAAAATCACATTTTTATATTAAAAAATCAATCATGGTACTATTCATTTTATTTTGTCTTTATCGTTAAAACTCAAAGTTTTCAAGCTTATTTCATTAGTTTTCCTTTATTTTTATCAGGGCATTGCATACCATATCTTTGAAACCATACCAGAAAAAAGAATGGTACGCTAGAACATGTTTAAAGACTTAACATTTACAATTATTTACTTGAATGTTTGCAGAGTTACCTCGATCCTCAGCAATTCGTTCAGCTGGAGGAATTGCAAGACGATGCAAATCCAAATTTTGTGGAGGAAATTGTGACTTTGTTCTACAAAGATTCAGCTAGACTGTTTCAAAAGATTGAGCAAGCACTGTAAGTAAATAGCACTCCCAATTATATACACCATATACATTCGTATTATCGAAACTAAGTATACCATGAGTAGCACTAAGATGAATGTATTTTCACACTGAATTATACAGGTACAGTAGGCCTATAGATTTTGCCAAGCTGGATGATTACATGCACCAGTTCAGGGGTAGTTCAAGGTACCCAGTACTACTTGCTTTGATTGAAATTTAACTTGAATAAATATATTGTTTCTCCATTTATGTATTGATTAAAGGTAAATTTGTAACAGCATTGGAGCTATAAAAGTGAAGAATGAATGCTCCCAGTTTAAAGAATTTTGTTTGGCTGCTAATGCTGATGGGTAAAAACATACTTCATCTATTTGTAACCAATTTCCACCCCCCCCCCCATTTCTCTGCTTGCTGGGACCTCATTGTGATTGATTATATGCAGATGCGTCAGGGCCTTGGAGAGAGTGAAACAAGAACACCAGACCTTGAGGATTCACCTTGAAAATTATTTTCAGGTATTACTCTCTCTAGTTGTGTGCCTGGGGCAAGTAAAAACTTGCTTGTAAGAATTGAATAAATCGCCTCGATCTCTTTCTTCTCACTTATCACCCCAGGATATGAGCGGGGATACATCCTCGGGAAAGGGAAGTTAAGTAACTAGCTAGTAGTTGTAGTAGCTAGTTTTTCTTTTTCTCATCTATATGTGTGTGCGTTTTGTGCATCTGTAGTTGAGAAGGCAAGCAGGACTAGTACAGCGTGTCTAGTGCCACAGAATTGCCTGAAGATCCAAGTTGATAATATGGAGAAAAAGAGCTGTCATCACCACCATTTTATCATTTTCTGGCCGAGGGTTTTACCTTTAAAATATCAAGTTAAGCCGGAGTATTATGCAGTTTTTCAATTTTGGTTGGCCATAGAAGTTAAGTTATATGTGTTCCAATAAATATGGATCTTAATTAGCGTACCAATAATGCAGATGTAGATCTTCTATGGTTCACATGCTACTCTAAATTATGTATTATCTTGGCCCTTTTATGGGATTAATATATTTGCACTTCTGTTTTATAAATATATGCAAACACTCATGACTTGAAGGGAGTGCCGAGTCTCATTGGTATATATGATTTTTCAATGTCTTAGTCATTATGGAGAAGTAATATTCCAAGGCCTTCTACTTATCACGGTCACCATCATAGCAAATAATGTGCATATCATGAATACAAAGATGCAAGAATATATATGTATTATACTTCATATGTAAAGTTCTTTTTTACACAATATTTGGTTCTCGATAAAATATCACTTCTCAATCTTCTTCAACTGTAATTTTATTTAAGAAAGTGATTGATTATTTAGGATGCATAATCAACATTTAGGGCTTAAGTTTAATACTTTTTAGTCTCAATCTTCAAATTGGTTAATCATTTATGTTTTAACTTCTTCATCGTAAACATGACAAACTTAATATCTAACCTTCCTTTAAAACATCAACCGTATTAACACAAAAGATGAAAGTTAAATGAAATTGAACATAAGTGAAATTCTATTGACTCGCTCATCCTTCTAAAAAAAAGGAACGAAAAGTCCTGCACAAAGAAGATTCTTTGCTCGAACATATATATGAGTGCATCATTTATCAAGAGCATTGGTTTGGTATGTTGGATAGTTTGTTAGAGCGCAGAAAAACTTGCAATGATAACAACAATCAAGAAGGGTGAAGAATATGAAGAGAGCAGAAAGCAAAAAGAGCCTAAAGTGAAGTTGGGATTTGTCAAGATTGCTTGACCGATTGAGGGCAGTGATGATAATCTAAGTGGGATGTAGGGGTCCACCACTAGCCACCTCTTGTTATGGAAATTGCAAAAGGTGGCCTTGCAAATGATGATCATCACGACTTTGCCCTATGTGCAACATTCATTGAACATTTGATCATAAGTTGCTTTCTTCCAAGAACAAACAAATTCAAAATTTAATGAAAAGCACAGTTCAAAAAATGGTGTAATCGAAGGTAGGCTTTCCCCACCAACCCAACCCATCAAATACAAGGCTATGCGCAAAAGAAAGAATGAGATATGTAATCGATTGTATATCTTTTGGTATTCATCTATCATGTCACGTATATGAGAAACAAATGCAAAAAATTAGTTAAGAATTTTTTGTGTAAAAGGCATAAATCTCTATATAAATAGTACAAAATGCAATTATGTGAGTCTTAAACCAGCTTAACCAGGTTGTTAAGATCTAAGTGTGACTATAATTAGCATGCAAGTATTTCTACAAGCACATGTTTGCGTGGCTTAGCTAGTGGAGTTGAAGGACCACTACTTTTTGGTAACTAGGAAGTCTTCTCCATGAATATACAAAATAGTGCTGTGGCTACTGCGGCATATATCTGACTGTTCCTTCAATTCTAATCCAAGTCAGTATCACTTGTGCTTCAATGTAGTAATGACCCCCATATCTTTATATCTGATAGGCACAACTTAAATTTAATTTTAATTAATTAAATACTCTTCCTAAATCCTCAACCCTATACAATCACGTATCTATCATTTTCTTTACGCGAACTAGTCAGACACATAATTATATTTCTCCCAAGTGTGAGCCTTGACAATCTTAAAACCTCCTTCATTAAATTTATATTAATCTAATTAAGTTGTGAAGTTGATTAAAGTTAACAAAACGGACGGTTGTGCATCCTCACCTGATTGATGTCATTTCGTCTATCAGCCAGGCTTATGTGGTATGCACTATGAGAAAAAGGGTAACAAAAAGACAACGCCTTGGCAAGTTGGGTGGCTCCCAGATGAAATTGTAGGCATGTGTTTTGTTTTCTCCCCCTTTTTCCATTTTCAAGGAAGAGAATAATAAGCAACAAAATTTTTTCTATGTTCTCAGAACACTGTCACATATTGTTATTATTTTGTTTAAATATAGTGCATGAGCGGTAGGTCTCGGGTTCGAGACTTGGGAGCAGCCTCTCCATAAATGGGGGTAAGGCTAGCCGACATTCACCTCTCAGACCCTGCGTAAAGCGGGAGCCTTGTGCACTGGGTACGACCTTTATAGTGCATGTATATTTTAATTTATCAATAATAGAAGTGAGACATCAACTATATCGCACATTCATGTCATAATATGAAAATTTCTCAATAACCAGACTCATCTCTCTCGCTATCTTTATCTCGCTCTCTCACCCACACCGCACATATAGGCACATTGAGTATGTTGAGCTGAATGCTGTCTCGGTCATTTGTCACAGTGTCATCTATATGTGACCGGCCACTTATTCCACCTACACGCTTGTTACTTGTTTTTAACACTATATTTTATATTTTTGAGTCTAAAATACCAGACAAGGAATCTTCCCAAACATTTTCCTTTTCTTGCATGTGCTCTGTTACTAGTCCAACCTGAGTCTCCAAAAAGCAAGTTATTGGAAGAATTTGCTATATATCTCCTTATCTAAAACCACTGTATTGTACTACTCATCTCCTTAGGATTCTCAAGGCTAGCTACTTAACAGTTTTTGGGTTCCTTTAGTAGATTTCCATGTTTCGCACAAACCCCAGATTTAAATTTCTTGAAGTTTTTGTTCTTTTACTTTGGAATTTGAAAAGTCTAGAGCTCGTTTCAGTTTTCAGTTTTCAATTTTCAAAATTTTGAGATTTGAAGAGGTTAACGTGGTCTATATATAGAAATGGTTAAGTTGTATAATATGATTTGTGAGAATAATGAAGAAGTGGTTGTGAGAGCAAATAAGAGAGGGTATGTTGCAGCTGAAGACAAAAAGCTGGAGCTGAGGCTGGGTCCTCCTGGAGGAGAAGATCGTCAGTCACTTCTCTCCCTTGGTTGCTGCAACAACAATATTCCTCATGAAGCCAAAAGAGCCTGTCATGAAGAGAAAAAAGAAGAGAGAAAGTGGTTGGCAAACAGTTCATCATCAAATCCTGCAGCTAGTGCTTCTGAACTTACGAATTCAGCTGCAGCTCGTGACTCTGATCAGAAAAGGTACAACTCTATATCTTTTCTTGCTTTATTTGCTTCAACTAAAGATGGTTTAGATGAGGGAATCAATCTTTTTTACATATCAAACAATTGTCGTCTATGAGATTTGAACTCAGAGCTTCCTTCACCAAAATAGAGACCAAGTGCTCTAGATCAAATGGTCATGCAATAGGAATTTATCTTAAGCATGTGATCAGCTAATTAATGTAAAATTTATCATGTAGTAGCGTACAAAGTTGTTGAGTAGTTGACATGAAATTAGCTCTTGTTGTGGAGTTGAATGATTAAATATAGAGTCTAGAGATACTTCAGTAAATACCATACTAATTTTATTATTTTCTTTGCTACCCCAGTAAAAGCAGAATTGTACATGCTCCAGTTGTCGGGTGGCCTCCGATCCGTTCATCCAGGAAAAATCTTGCAAACAGATCATCATCATCAAGCTTCGCAAACCCGGCAGCTGATTCGGAGTCACCAAATGAAACTTCGAAGGAGGGAAATGGAAAATCTGATGGTACTACTTATTCCAAGCACCACATGTTTGTAAAGATCAACATGGAAGGAGTTCCCATCGGAAGAAAAATTAACCTCAAAGCCTATGATAGTTATGAGAAACTCTCTTTTGCCATATATGAACTCTTTCAAGGTCTTCTTGCAGGTTAATTTTTTATTTAATTTATTTTGTGTGTGTAGAAACTCAGCTCCTAGTACTAATTTGTTGATATTATTTACTAGATATTTTTTTGGTTTCACAACTGTGATTTATTAACTTGCTATTATTTTTTTTATATGTCAATATTTAGCTCAAAGAGTTTGTTGTGGCGTGGAGAAAGAAGACAAGAAGGGAGAGACCAAATCAAAAACTGAATCATTACATGGCAGTGGGGAATATACTCTACTCTATGAGGATAATGAAGGGGACAGGATGCTTGTTGGTGATGTCCCATGGAAGTAAGCATTACAATACTAACTTTACTAAATTATTGGTACTGATTAGTGAGAACTCAAGTATTATTTAGTTTATTAATGACTAAACTCTCATATTAAACATCCATAATTTAAACGAACAATCATTCAGTAATTAGCAAAACATAAAGCAATTAATTAGAAACATACATATTAGGGTAGTGCTATCCACACACCCTTTTTTTACTTTTCATGCATTCCTTGTGAGCGGTGTGTGGATAGCACCACCCACATAGTATTGTATATCTTGTAAAATTCAAAATTGTACCTGTTTCTGGAGATTTGTTTTGTGACATGGTTCTCATTTCTTCCTATTAACAATTGCAGCATGTTTGTATCCACGGCAAAGAGGCTTCGGGTATTGAAGAGCTCACAGCTTTCCACTCTACAACGTACGTGAAGCTTACTTATGTTCTCATAAAAAAATTTCTGTGTTAAGTTTTCATGGATAGCTTGATAGATTGGATTGCTATTCAAACTCGCTTTGAGCGACTCTATGCAACACATAACCAAGTCGAGTATGAGCCGCTCAAAGAGCGAGTCTGAATAGCAATTTAGCTTTAGAATATTTATAATGGAAGTTTGCCTGTTTTCAGTTTGTAGCAGTCCGCATGAAAAGACACCACTTGATTCTACAGTGGAAGTTGGAATCTGAAGGTGAGGCAGTTAAGTGGAGGAATTCCCATACATGCGATGATACGAAGCTCTACGTAGTTTAGGGGTTTCCATCAAGTTTTCTTTGCTTCTTTTCCTCCCTTTAATGGCCTAATTAAATCTTGTATATTAAGGATGTTGAAGATCTCTGTGATTTTGTGTTTTCTGTATCTCCTTTTCTTGTTGAAATATTCAGGTTTATAGCCCTTTGGGCATTTTGTAGAAACACCTTGTTCATAAGTCAATATAGGCCTACCGAACCCACACAAAAAAAATAAAATAAAATAAATTAAGAAAAAGAGCAGAGGTTAGGCTAGCACGAGCATGCCGTTTATTTATATTATAACATATATACTTTATAACCGACATGATGATGTTACGATCACAAACCTAACAAATTTCCGTCTATGACTCAACAATTTGGAGAAGTGAAAGATAATGATGTCACTTTGTAGTGGTATTATTTTCCACTTATAAATGAAAAGTCATAGTTTTGACTTCTATTAATAACAAGTTTGATATCACGTTATTATAGTTAATCCATTGTATGACCAATACTAAATCCCTCAACCAATTTTTTTTTATGGAAAAAACAGACCCAAATCCCCCACCCATGGTGTAATTATATCGCTAATAATTTAAAAAAAAAAACAAAAAGTGCCAAATAATGATTAGGGGGCTTAGTGAATTTCCGCTTAAGGCCAATGATGATTTTCATTTATGCTTTCACGGAAAGCGGGTGCGCAAATCGATGATACTTTTATGAATTTTTCAAAGTCCCAAATTATACTTCTGACTGTTTGGATGAGGAATTTTCAAGTCCTCAGCAATTTCAAAGTCCCCAGGTATTTCAAAGTCTCAGGATTGAGGTCAAGTTAGAAAAAATGGACCAAAATTGTTGTGTTTTCTCACTGATTCAGAGTCAGACATCTCTCCACTTGGTCTGGTTGTTGGTGTACCCTTCCACTCTCTAGGACTCTCATGGCACAGGTAAATATAATCTAGTGCTTGTTTCTTATCATCTTCATTCTTTCCCCTTCCCGTTTATTTCTAGGGTTTGATTTTGTTTATCCACTAATATCAGCGCATGATGTAGTTCTTTGGTCTCTTTTTTTCTCACTGTGTCTCTAAATATTCATGATACTCTTACATATTCACTGAATTCCGTAGGAACCATATATGTGTCAAACTCAATAGATTGGAGCATCGATCCCTAAATTACCCAATTGTAGCTTTGGTTTTTGTATTAGAAGTCCATCAAAATTAGTATATAAATTTGACAAAATATGGAACATTGACAGTGACAAAAATGTGGAGCATTGGTCGTGATGCCAATTTAGTGAGATTTTCTGTTTGACCGAATTACTTCATATAAAAGGTTCGCGGGCATTTCATATACTTACTTTTGATTGAAATTCTTACTGAATTGGCTAAACCAATGATCCACATTTTTTTCAAATTCATATACTAATTTTTATAAAGTAAGTTTGCCTGTTTTCAATCAGCATGAAAAGACACCACTTGATTCTACAATGGAAGTTGGAATTGGAAGATGAGGCAGTGGAGGAATTCCCATACATGTGATGATATGAAGCTCTGCATAATTTAGCGGTTTCCATCAAGTTTTCTTTGCTTTTTTTCTTCTTCTCTTTAATGGCCTAATTAAATCTTGTATGTTAAGGGTGTTGAAGTTCACTTTGATTTTATGTTTTCTGTATCTCCCTTTATTGTCGAATATTCAGGTTTATACCCTTCCGGGATTTTTTGTAAAAACAATTAAATCTAACACGCTTAGAGGAAGTACGACATGCAGTCGAAGCGAAAACAGTTGGGCTGATGGTGAAGAAAAATCTCGATTCATTGGCATTATACTGGGGACTATATCACCCGATATCCCAAGATGTGGATAAATCATTGGGGATGGTACCTAAACGCCAACAAGCTTCAATATCCGTTGGCCTAACTGGCTTATTGCTGCCGGCAATAGCTTGCATGTTGGAACAACTCGCACCCTTCACGCCACAACAATGTAAACATGCTGTAAATATTGTCGCATCCCGGTCCGGGATGGATCACTTTTCGGGCCCGTTTCACCACCGTAGCATGATATTATCCGTTTTGGGCTTACCATTCCCTTACGATTTTGTTTTTGGAAACTCACGAGCAACTTCCCAGTAGGTCATCCATCTTGGGAGTGCTCTGGCCTCCTTCTTGCTTGACTTCGGAGTTCCTACGGAACCCGAAACCAGTGAGCTCCCAAAAGGCCTAGGTAGAGATAAGAATATACATTTAAAGATCACTCCCCTAGACGATGTGGGATGTCACAATCCACCCCCTTAGGGGCCCGACATTCTTGTCGGCACAGTTCCGGCCAAGGATTAGCTCTGATACCATCACTTTCCGGGCCCGTTCCACCACCGTAGCATGATATTGTCTGTTTGGGCTTACCATTCCCTCACAGTTTTGTTTTTGGGAACTCACGAGCAACTTCCCAGTGGGTCACTCATCCTGGAAATGCTCCGGCCTCCTTTTCGCTTAACTTCGGAGTTCCTACGGAATCTGAAGCCAGTGAACTCCCAAAATGCCTCGTGCTCGTGCTAGGTAGGGATAAGAATATACATTTAAGGATCACTTCCCTGGATGATGTGGGATGTCACAAATATCCTCGACAGTTTGCAACCCACACAAAAATATGGAAAAGCTAGTTATAAATGGCTATATATCCAGGAACTGGATTTGCTGCTTGGGCTTTCCCAGAAAATGTAATTTCAGTTGAACTTGCGACTGGGAAAATTGTGAACATCTTCCAGCCCTGGGGAGTCTTCTGACACTCAAGACTTATGAACACAAGGTGTTTTTACAAAAATCCCACAAGGCTATAAACCTCAGTATTTCAAAAAGAAAAGGAGATACACAAAACACACAATCACAGTGCTCTTCAACATTCTTAATATATACAATATGTAATTAGGCCATTAAAGAGAGGGAAAAAAGCAAACAAAACTTGATGGAAACCCCAAAATTATGTAGAGCTTCGTATCATGGCATGTATGGGAATTCCTCCACTTAATAACTGCCTCATCTTACAATTCCAACTTCCATTGTAGAATCAAGTGGTGTCTTTTCATGCTGATTGCTACTAACTGAAAACAGGCAAACTTCCATTATAAACATTATGAAGCTAAATTGCTATTCAGACTCGCTCTTTGAGAGGGCGGCTCATACCCAAACTCGCTTACATGTTGCATAGAGTCTCTCAAAGCGAGTCTGAATAGCAATCCTTCAAACTAAAGGGCTCTAGCCATGAAACTTTGACACTTGTAAAAAATTTATGAGATCACGTACATTGTAGAGTGGAAAGCTGTGAGCTCTTTAATACCGGCTGCCTCTTGGCCGTGGATACAAACATGCTGCTGTTATCAATTGTACAATAATATCATGAGCCATGGTGACCAAACAATTGTACAATAATATCACGAGCCAGGGTGACCAATTACTTCAGTTTACACAAAAATAAAAAAGGCTTCTAATTAATTCTCTTGATTTTGTTAATTAGAGAATGATTTTTTGTTTTACAAAATAAGCAGTGTTCACCTATTCATTTATCATCCCATCAAAAAGAAGTACACAAGGAGGCATGGCTTACCATAATGATGAAAGCTTGTTCACGATAATGAAATGAAAGTTGCTCACTGAGAAGATGTTTGAAGCAACAGATCAGCTGCCAGATGTGCTCGCTTCACCGGACTGCCTGGCTTGAGGCGGTCCGATGAACTTATGTGGGACGTGGGCTATTTTCATCCAATCCTCACCACTACCTTGTTTACATCTTTCCTCAAGCTCCGGGCATTCTTGAATAGAGAGGTGTTGGAGCTTAGTGAGAATCTTGAAACCTGGTGGCAATACTTGTAAACCGGGGCAATCAGATATCGTCAAGGACCTAAGAGAATCAAGACCCTCAAACCATTCTGGCAAAGCAGTTAGATTGGGGCAGCTACCAATTTCGAGACAGTGCAGTGTTCCCACATTTTGTAACCCTTCTGGAAGAGAATCAAACCAAGGATTGCCCAGCAGGATCAAACTTCGAAGGGAGGAGAGGTGTTGAACACCTTCTGGAAAAGAACCAAGTTTTGGACAGAACATAATTGTCAAGTGCTCAAGCAACGCGAGCTTTTCCAAGCTTGATGACAGAGAAGTGAGATTAGTGCAGCTTTCAATGGACAAAGTTCGAAGTAAACTCAAACCTCCAATCCAACCATCCGGCATGGAGATTATACTGTGACAGTTACTAATCTCCAGTGACTCTAGAGCTTTGAGGTTTTGTAAAGTCTGAGGCAGAGAGAAGAGCTCTTCGCACCATCGAATGGTCAATGATTCAGAGCAGTAAGGTTTCTGATCTGCAAAGGCAGTGAACGAAGCTTGGGACAGGACAAGATCTTCAAAGAAGACAGACAAGCTGATGCAATGAACCCTTCTGGGAAAGTGAGTAGGCCTGGTATGTTTTCTAGAACAAGCACAGAAAGCAGACTTAAACTTCCTACAGACGTCAACGTTGGATTACAATCTTGCAGCTCTAGATGTTGAAGGGACTGAGGCGATGGAATATGTGCTAGCTTGGGACATCTTTTAACGGTTAATTTCCTCAGGCTCGGGAATGAATTTTCGCTATTTGTGCTTGACCACTCTTCCAAGTTGGGAAATTCACTGAGTCTTAGTTCTTCAAGTGATGAAAATCTTATGTCTGCACCATCACCGTAGAACTCTGTACCAATGCTCCTCACGCCATGCATCCCATGCAGATAAAGAGTCTTAAGCCGCAGAAGATTCCCAAGGGCTGGAAGATGTCTACAATTTTGGCAGTTCGCAATTTCAACTGCAATTACATATTCCGGGAGAGCCCAAGCAGCAAATCTAATTCCTGGATAGCCATTTATAACTAGCTTTTTTATATTTTTCGGTGGCTGTAAACTGTTGAGAATTTCTTCAGCACGTGTAACTTGGAATCCCACCATTGAAGCTTCTCGGCGTTTAGGTACTATCCCCAATGATTTGTCCACATCTTGGGACCTCCGCTGGTATGCTCCCCAGTATAATCCCAATGAATCGAGATTTTTCTTCATCATTAGCCGAGCTGTTTTCGCTTCCACTGCATTCCATACTGTCTCTAAGTGTGTTAGATTCAACTTGCCATAAAGATTTAATTGTTCCAGAGCACTAAGGTTCAAATTGTGAAAAGGATTTAATTGGTCCAGAGTTTTAAGGATATCAGATCTGCTGAAGCTAGCGACATACAATGGCAATGTCTGAAGTTGATGTAATCTTTCAATACCAGCAGGCATGTCAGTTAATTGTTCACATCCAGTTAGATTGAGATGTCTGAGGCAGGTCATCTTTCCCAAGAAAGGCAAATAGCGAAGATTGTAGCACCCAATTAAGTTTAAAGTCTGCAATGATACAAGCCCACTTGCCCTACGAGGAAGCATGTCGATAGGCGTGTAAGACAGGTCAAGATACCTCAAACATATCAAGTCACCCAATGCATCCGGCAAACTCGTAACATCACAACCATGATATGGGATACTTTTGCTTTTAACCCTGATGATATGAGATATTCTTGCTCTAGTATAGCTTGTTTACAGAGGTATTATCGGGGGGAAAGAAAGCTGAATATTTCGAAAGGCTTCGTTGGGAGTGCCCTCTCAGATAGGAGGAAGGGTTAAACATTTTTGCAGGTCTGCCTGTCCGTTGGGGATGGAGGTCGACATATATAGGAGTCTCCCTAACATCAAGTAATAATGCTATTCCTTTACCCTGCTTGGTCATAGCACGGTAGTGGGAGCTGCCAACTTCACATGTTTTAACTCTGTCAGAGCACTTTGAAAAAGTGGTCTGTGGTATCTGGAAAGCTGATGTTGCGTGTGAAGATTACAGACATTTATCCAAGGAGATCCAGCTCTTAAGTTGGGAAAGGAGATCAAGCAATCCTGTCAGGGGATTGAAGTTCAGAGAACGACTGGATTTTTGAACTGGTGCCTCTCTTTTGAGTTTCTTGAGATTCGAAGCAATCCTTCAATGGGATCTGGGCTCTCGAGTTTGTCAGTGAACAGAGGTGCCCTCTTCCGATTTTTGAGATTTTTGAGAAGTAATCATGTTGGGAGTCTGGCTCTCGAGATTTCGGAGGGCGGTGCCTCTTCGATTTTGGAGCAAGCAATCTTGTTGGGAGTGTTTTTCTCGAATGTGAGTAAAGGTTGGGCATGTTTGCTAGTCTACCTTGCCACGAAGCACAGAGGTTGACACACCGGGACTTTCCAATTATCCAGCAGTGGTACTGTTTCTTTACCCTTGTGGGTAATAATATGGTAGCTAGACCTTCAAAATTTATGTGTCTAAACTTTGTTAGTGTTGTTTTCTTTGCTATTCTTTTACCTTTCTTGGTCAGAGCGATGTAGTGGGAGCTGCAAGCTTCACGTGTCTCAACTTTGTCAGAGAACTTTGGCAAAGTTATCTATGGTACCCATGAGCTACTGTTGTGTGTGGGAAGTGGGTGATTGAACAGTACGATTCATGTGCTTTGCTTTCGACCAGAATACTTCGCAACAGGCTGGAAAAGTCTTCGGACAGATGCCCATAATTTCCGCAAAAGCTGAGAGGTGTGCTCTTCGTGGATCTTTTGAGCAAGCCCAAGCTTTTGAGAAAGCAAGCCTCTTTCGATTTCTGAGATCGGACCCTTCGTGGTCTCTGAGCAGCCCAGCTTTTGAGAAAGCAAACGCCAAACGATTTCTGAGCAGGCGTCTCTCGATTTCTGAAGCTTCGTCGAGTGCAGATTTTTATAGGGGCTGACATTAAGTTCCCAAGCACACTTGAATATCCACAAGTAGAAGCTCCATTCTTGCACTTCTAAGATCTTGACTTGTGTCCGACCTCTTCTCTCTTCAACACCTTTGAAATGTGTCTGGCCCCTCCGACCGTCGTTTTGACTTGAACCTTGTTGAAGAGGCAGCCCCGCCTTCTCCAGACAACATATGGCGCCCCCTTCCTTCGTCTCCCCTACTGGTCCTCTTACCGTTGGGGATTCCGTGATGAAGAATGATATGACCGCTGCGGTCGTGGCCAGGAACCTTCTCACTCCCAAAGATAACAGACTACTTTCCAAACGGTCTGATGAGTTGGCTGTTAAGGATTCTCTGGCTCTCAGTGTTCAGTGTGCAGGTTCTGTGTCTAATATGGCCCAACGCCTATTTGCTCGAACCCGCCAAGTTGAATCATTGGCGGCTGAAGTGATGAATCTCAAACAGGAGATTAGACGGCTCAAGCATGAGAATAAACAGTTGCACCGACTCGCACATGACTATGCTACAAACATGAAGATGAAGCTTGACCAGATGAAGGAATCTGATGGTCAGGTTTTACTTGATCATCAGAGATTTGTGGGTTTGTTCCAAAGGCATTTATTGGCTTCGTCTTCTGGGGCTGTACCGCGTAATGAAGCTCCAAATGATCAACCTCTGATGCCTCCTCCTTCTAGGGTTCTGTCCAGTACTGAGGCTCCGAATGATCCCCCTCCGGTTTCCTTTCTGGGGCTTCTACCGACTGCTGAGACTTCTCCTAAGCAACCTTTGTGAAGGCTCCCTCTTGTTTGTTTATTTTGACTCAAGTATATGTACATATTTGTAACTTATCGGGGATATCAATAAATAAGCTTTCCTTCATTTCAACGTATTGTGTTAAATACACCAAAACCTTCTTCGCTAAGTTCTTTGAATTTTCTTTTGTTGAAGCTTGTATGCTTGTAAGCTTTGTTGGAAGCATGTTGGTGGAGCATGTAGGTTGAGGTAATGTTCCCTTAATTTCCCGAGTGAGGAAAACTTCTCGGTTGGAGACTTGGAAAATCCAAGTCACTGAGTGGGATCGGCTATATGAATCTTAGAACGCGAGGCACCTACTTTTCCAGCCTTGTCAGCACCTGTCACACGCACACTCAGCTTTGCGGAAATTATGGGCATTCTGTCGAAGATTTCTGGCGAAGTAGAAAGCACATGAATCGTATTGTTCAATCACCCACTTCCCACACGCAACAGTAACTCATGGGTACCACAGATAACTTTGCCAAAGTTCTCTGACAAAGTTGAGACACGTGAAGCTTGCAGCTCCCGCTACACTACGCTCTGACCAAAAGAAGGGTAAAAGAATTGCAAAGAAACAACAACACTAACAAAGTTTAGACACATAAATTTTGAAGGTCTAGCTACCATATTATTACCCACAAGGGTAAAGGAACAGTACCACTGCTGGATAATTGGAAAGTCCCGGTGTGTCAACCTCTGTGCTTCGTGGCAAGGTAGACTAGCAAACATGCCCAACCTTTACTCACATTCGAGAAAACACTCCCAACAGGATTGCTTACTCCAAAATCGAAGAGAGGCACCGCCCTCCGAATCTCGAGAGCCAGACTCCCAACATGATTACTTTCTCAAAAATCGAAGAGAGGGTAAAGGAACAGTACCACTGCTGGATAATTGAAAAGTCCATGTGTGTCAACCTTTGTGCTTCGTGGCAAGGTAGACTAGCAAACATGCCCAATCTTTACTCACATTCGAGAAAACACTCCCAACAAGATTGCTTGCTCCAAAATCGAAGAGGCACCGCCCTCCGAATCTCGAGAGCCAGACTCCCAACATGATTACTTTCTCAAAAATCGAAGAGAGGGTAAAGGAACAGTACCACTGCTGGTTAATTGGAAAGTCCCTGTGTGTCAACCTCTGTGCTTCATGGCAAGGTAGACTAGCAAACATGCCCAACCTTTACTCACATTCGAGAAAACACTCCCAACAAGATTGCTTGCTCCAAAATCGAAGAGGCACCGCCCTCCGAATCTCGAGAGCCAGACTCCCAACATGATTACTTTCTCAAAAATCGAAGAGACACCGCTTTCCGAATCTCGAGAGCCAGACCCCTAGCAGGATTGATTTCTCAAAAATCGAAGAGGCATCGTTCTCCGAATCTCGAGAGCCAGATCCCCGGCATGATTGATTGTTCGAAAACCGAAGAGGCACCACTTTCCCAACTTCAAGAGCTGGATCTCCTTGGATAAAGCTTGTCTGTAATCTTCACACGCAACATCAGCTTTCCAGATACCACAGACCACTTTTTTAAAGTGCTCTGACAGAGCTAAAACATGTGAAGCTGGCAGCTCCCACTACCAGGCTATGACCAAGCAGGGTAAAGGAATAGCATTATTACTTAATGTTAGGGAAACTCCTATATATGTCGACCTCCATCCCTAACGGACAGGCAAACCTGCAAAAATGCTCAACCCTTTCTCTTATCTGAGAGGGCACTCCCAACGAAGCCTTTCGAAATATTCAGCTTTCTTTCCCCCCGATAATACCTCTGTAAACAAGCTATACTAGAGCAAGAATATCTCATATCATCAGGGTTAAAAGCAAGAATATCCCATATCATGCTTTTTCCCTGTCTTTTCCTTTGACCTTGTTCTTACCTGCAAGACAAGGAGAAAGAGAGCAATCAGTCAGCACTTGGAATCAAGCTTCCAGCCAGGAACTGACTGCCTGGAACCCCTTACCTGATTACTTACCTGGCATTGCTCTCGAGTACTCATCTTCAACATCTTATGCTTCAAGGGAAGATACCGCATCTGCCTGAGGAACAGATAGGGCAAGTGAGAAGGATACAAGGAAGCATGTGGAGACAAGCGTAACAGCACACGTGCCGATACATCCACTACTCTGTCAAAAGCAAAAGTATCCCATATCAGTAGGGTCGAACGTACTCTAGATTTGATGGACTTGTTTTGACCCTCAAATTCTTCAGTCGGCCTTATACTCTGGAGGAAACCAGAAAACCCTCCAGCCCGGTTCAAGAATAAGCATGTGGAAAGTTACTTCTTCAAAAGCAAAAGTATCCCATATCATCTCTTCTTATTTTTCTTCTCTTCATCCTTCATGCTGCCTGCAAGATAGGGAGAATGTGAACAATCAGCCGGAGCTCTAATTGCTTACCTTGTCTGTCACCTCTTTTAGCAGATCCCCTAGCCCGGCGACTTGGGGGACTCCTACTACATGGTTTGTATCGCGCTTGACCAAGCCTGAAACTACAAGTAAGCTTCAAGTGAAATTGATACATTACCTTGTGCATCTCCACCAGTTACAGATACCACCCCTGGATGGAGGAAGAGTACTTCCAGAGAAGATGCCACATTTACCTATGAGACAGATAAGGCAAGTCAAGACGATACCACACTCCGGTACTTAGAAGTTTCGTGGTTACGAGATCATTCTCCCACAATATTTCCTAATGTCATTTGTACTAAATCATTCACTTGTACTCACTAAAGGAGAGCTTGAACCTATGTACTTGTGTAAACCTTTCACAATTAATGAGAACTCCTCTATTTCGTGGACGTAGCCAATCTGGGTGAACCACGTACATCTTGTGTTTGCTTTCCTATCTCTATCCATTTATATATTTATCCACACTAATGACCGGAGCAATCTAGCGAAGATCACAAAAATTGACCGTTTTCGCTACCTAGGATCTATCTTGCAAGAGAACGGAGAATTAGATGGAGATCTCAACCATAGAATACAAGCTGGATGGATGAAGTGTAAGAGTGCATCCGGCGTGTTGTGTGACCGTCGTAGGCCACTGAAGCTCAAGGGAAAATTTTATAGGACGGCAATAAGGCCAGCGATGTTGTATGGCACAGAATGTTGGGCGGTGAAGCATCAACACGTACACAAAATGGGTGTAGCGGAGATGAGGATGCTTCGTGGGATGTATGGGCACACGATAAAGGATAAGATTGGGAATGAGGATATCCGAGGTAAAGTAGGAGTAGCCAAAATTGAAGGAAATATGAGAGAAAATCGGTTCCGGTGGTTTGGACATGTGCAAAGAAGGCCTACTGACGCTCCGATTCGAAAATGTGACTACGGGACAGAGGTTCAGGGCTGAAGGGGTAGAGGAAGATCTAGGAAAACTTTGGAAGAGACCCTAAGAAAAGACTTGAGTACTTGGATCTAACGGAGGACATGACACAAAACCGAGCGCAATGGCGTTCTAGGATTCATATAGCCGATCCCACTTAGTGGGAAAAGGCTTTGTTGTTGTTGTTGTTGTTGCTTGACAAGCCAAACTCTCCGATGAATAATAGAATAGAGTTCGTAAATGCTCTGCTTCATATAGTGCTTCTGGAATTCTAATTTCCCCATATGTATAAACTATAGATGAGTGTCGAATTTCTGATGGATAAAGTGGTGGAGTATCTCCTTCGAGTGTCACAAACTCTTGTCCAGCAACATGTCGTGCAAGATCATGAATCACATCAACCATTCTGTATCCAACTACGCCATCAGTATCAGAAATCTCTACTTCCTGAAAGAAAGACATCCACAATAAGTCGTCGAAGTACTCGTCACCAATGTCTTCTAGTCGCTTGCTCCCTTCTTGTAGAACGAAGCCTTCTGCCATCCATAGATGGATCAGCTTTTCCTTCTTGAATTCATAATATTTGGGAAATAATGAGCAAAAGGCAAAGCATTGTCTAAGATGCGATGGCAGATGAAGATAACTCAACATCAAGGCAGGGAATACTCTTTGTTGGCATACATCTAATTGCCAAAGTTCACTATTCTGCATAAACAACCAATGTGCTTCCTCTCATTTAAAGCGCAGTACACTTCCCAAGCTTTTTACTGCTAATGGCAACCCTCCACATTTTTTGACAATCTGCTTCCCAATCAGAACAAGGTGTGGATACTTTTCTTCTTCTCCTCTTCCAAAAGCCCTTTGATTAAACAAAGCCAAGCAATCACCAAACGGTAAACCGTTCAACTGATACTGAATTGAGCTGCCCATCATCAACGGGATCTTTCTGCTGCGAGTGGTGACAACGATCTTGCATCCATCAACTCCCTCTCTAAACAAAGGTGTTAGCTTTTCCCAATCATCCGGATCTTCAGTCCATACATCATCTAACACGAGGAGAAATTTTTTCTTGTGCAGGGAATTCCAAACCTGAGACTGAAGTTCGTCAATCCCGGTGATCTCACACTTACTCTTTGTTACAGATTCAATAATTCCTTTCATGATCTTTGTGATGTTGAAGTCAACAGAAACAAAAATCCACATCCTAACATCAAAGTGTTGCACTACCCTCTTATCATTGTATGCAAATTGAGCGAGAGTCGTCTTACCAATTCCTCCATGACCAATTATCGAAACGCAAGCTGCGTATCCTCCTTCAACCTGCTTAGCATCAGAAGATATCAACAGCTTGACTAACTCCTCCCCTTCTTCTTTCCTCCCATGTATTTCTGTGTCCTTAACAAAAGAGCTAGTCTCCCTTTTCATAGACCCTCGATCTACGATACTAGGCAGCAGCTGGGTAGGCTCTCTGATATTGAACATACGAAATCCCTCAGTTACAGTCCTTTCCAACTGCTGGAGCATCTTCCTGAGTTTTTCAGGTTTTACTTGCATCATCTATTCCTGAAATACTAAAAGGACGAATCTTGAAGGTTTCGCGAGCGGCAAAGAAGTCGAGAACGTCCTGAGCATCGCAAACTGCCTTCTTGAGGTCCAACAACCACAGCTTAGCAGCTTTGTTGGTGAACTGCTGTTCTTCTGCAACTTCAAGGGTAGCTTGAGCTCGCACCAACGCATGCTGCAGGCTCTGGAAGTTGTCGTCGTAACCAAAGAGATCAGAAGCCTTTTGTAGGAGCGGTGACGCTAATCTGTCAAAGAGCACTTGCAAAGCCGGGGACAAAACAATGCCCGCAGCTGCTTCCATATCTGGGAGATCGCAGACAGTATACTAATTCAATTTGGTAGATGAGATTTGGAAGTGGAATGGATCTGCAGAAAGATCAATTTAGTCGATGGTCGATCAAACTTTGAAGGGTAGCTAGAGGGAAATTCTCAGATCCAGAATGTATGGTTCAAATTGAATCAACGTCCAGGTCTTTCATCTATAGTACTGGTCGTCACCATGGAAGTATGCATTCCAAACTACCAAGTTTGCTAAATGGCCGAATCGGATAAATGATCATCTGGTCATAAGTATTCGGAAGATAGTCCATGTGCTAAAAAAAACTCAAGATTTAAATCTTTGTGGTGTATTTCATTAGCAAATTTAGTCCAAAATGATATTTTTGTTAACTATCTGTTAATATATGGGTAAAATTGTACTTTGACGTGTAAATCCTATTATTTACCCTATTAAAAAAAAAAACCAAACAAACAAACAATAGGGTTTACACGTCAAAGTACAACTGTACCCATGTATTAACAAATAGTTAACGGAAATATCACTTTTGGATTAAATTTGCTAACAGAGTACACCACAGGAGTTTAAATTCGAGTTTTTTTTAGCACAGTGCTATCTTCCGAATACCTTATGACCACATGGATCATTTATCCGATTTGGCCTTACTAAATTACTAGTTGAATCCCTCTATGGAAAATTAGTATCTGATGGTGAAGTAAGATAATTTGTCTCTTAGTATTTATCTTACTTGTATTCTACGTTATTGCGTTTTGATTTGTTTCCTAGTCTTATTGTTCTCCTACAAATTCCTTCAAGTTGGAGAAGAGTAACATATTATGAATTATGTGAGATTCAGGTAGAGTTTTGAAAGTTAACCCCAAAACTTTTATTCTTAGAATTAGAGTATCCAATGGATGAAATTCCCATGAGGAAGAATCAGCGGAGCGGCTTTTCTGTCCAACCCAAAACGTTCGTTTGGAATTTTTTTCTTTTGTGATCGGAATACGGATGGTACACCACGTGCTTTTATACAAGATGTGAGAAATTGTATTTTTTAAGTTATTAACTTTTTAACACATATATCCTACTATTTGTATAATGACACGTGGTGTACCACCTCGTGTTCCCGTCACACTGAAAAATCTCTCGTTGGAGAGGATCAAAATTTTCCCGTTTTAATTAAATAGGTTTCCTAGTTGCTTGATTGAGGTTTTGATCCCATTGTTTGGGGCCTTTGTGCCTTCTATTAAAATTTCATGTAACATGAAAGCAGCCCTAACGTTGGATTTGAAACGTCAAGCCAGAAGTTCAACATTCAAAAAATACTTAAAAATTACAAAACAATGTACAAAAGAACAACATGATAAAGTTCAGATTTCTTGCAAATAAAAAATTGGGTTGATTTTAACGTAAAACCAATAAAACATAAAACATTATCATTACCTTAATCATTTTACTATTCGGAATCTCTCAATGTGAGTCAAAGGGAGACTCTTCGACATCTGTAATGTAGAGTATGGATACTAGCAAGAAACTTTATTGCGGTACAGCGTCGATTATTACAGTACATGTTACTGTATTAGTGTAATATCATTGCCGTCCCCGACTATCCAAAAGCCCTTCCTTCTGTTCGAGATTTCGAATATCTTGAGGGTGATCGGAGAGTGCGGTTAATCTGGCACCCTTTTCTTCATTTGGGTCTTCCAATATAGGTATGCAAGCAGGACACAAATTAAGGCAAAAGTATTGTTAATTAAGGCTCTATGCAAATATTACATGTTCAAACAAAACTGTAGTCCTAGCAAAATGCGGATTTGAAAGGTAAATATCACAACTAAGTAGATGCGTAATTTTGTTTATTTCTTATAACTATGCATATATAAGTTGTTCCGTCATTAGAGATATATACATCTCTAATGGCGAAACCAAGATTTTATGACAATGAAAGCGTAACAAAATTCTCATTTATATATTAATTGTTCACATTCACATATACTTTCAGTCATATACGCATGTCTGACAAAAATATATTTTTTTATCTCAAATTTAGTTTCATATATATCTGAGCCATCTTCCGATGCTTTTATATCCAATGTTTAATGTTGAAAGAAGTCAATTTTGAATCACGGCCTCACTGATTGAAAACAAAATTCTAGGTGCTCTAATTGATGTTAATTAATGTGCGTACCTAATTATTTGCAAAATAGTACCAAATGCACATGAGTTGTTGTTGGCCCTAAAAACTACCAAGCATACGTGGCGCGCAGGCCGAATAATTAATGAGCTAACTACGTCATTCGGTTGTATGCGGGTGTGCCAACTCGTCGGCCGAGCTCGGCTGAGGAGTAAAATGAGTTGATGTTGCGTTGAGGGCGTTACTGACTTCTAAATCTCGCGACGGCGGCTGAGAAAAGAACACACCTCGGCCTTCGGATTCTAGAGCCTGAAGACAAGGCTGCTAGTTCTACAAAGTTCAATATCAAATTCGGCTTTCAATGTGCCGAATGTAGTAACTTGTAACACCTTACCTCGCCAAAAAGGCTAATGAGATGACCTCTGCCAATAAGGATTCGAAAATCCTTCTCGATCGAAACTTAGATAGATAACCAGTCGGCCTCGACGCAGTGCTGTTTATCCAAACTGAATGTGCTCCGCAGTCGGTTGATTCTACGGCAACAGTGTTGTTTATCCAAACTAAAGATGTTCGTCGGTTGCCTTCACAGTGCTGTTTATCCAAACTGAAGATGTGTCGGCGAAAGAAGCAAAAAAAATCTCTAGGTTGTTGAGAGGTTTCGCGAAAGCGAGGGTTTGCACATGGCAGTTTGTGTGTTGAATTGGAGGTGGCCTCAACGCTGCTGATGCTCTTGTATTTATAGCAGTGCAGTCTGTTTGATGGCTTTGTAAAACTATTCACTGTGTAAATTGCCAATAATATTCTTATGAATATTACCTTCTGACCATCCGATTTGCATGCAATCCCATCTTTCGTGCTTGAAAGTCTCCTTATCCCGTCAGTCCACCCTTGCGGTATAATCCTATTTTAAATAGGACATCATTAATCTGGCTCTTGGATTCGATACTTATCTCGTTATTCAAACCACCCAACAATTTCATGTGGACCTCCCAGACATTTCAAGTTGCATTATCATCGTCACCATCCAAAAAGTCCACGTGTAGGCATGCATGGAAGGTAGTCTTCCACCAAATATCTTGTCAAACTCCATCCATCAGACTTTACAATTAGATAGGGGAGTATATGGCCCAAACACAATTCAACTAGAACTCATTTTCTTTTCAACCAACGCAGCTGGCACCAAATTAACCAAAAAACATGGCTAATCCTTCACGTTGGACTCCCCCTTATCTTCATACAATAAAGATTGCAGTGTGGTTTAGAGGAATAATCTCCAATCAATAAAAATCGTTCGCCATCACGTGTTAGGACTCTTCACATAATGCTCTGATGCTCCAATCCATACGTCTAAATGCGTCAAGATAATTCATTATTAAAATATAATTTTTATGATTAAAAACCATAATATTATCTCTTAACCATAACAAAATTATCTTAACTTTCTTATTTGACAGTTAAGAATCATGCTCACTCAACGGCCTTGATTACTCGGGTTGATGGTCTCAAATCGGGTCCAAACAGTTGTATTATCATGTGTATGAATTTCTTAGGGTCCGATATTAAAATTTAGTGGTATCTAAAGCATCCCGTTTGGGTTAGAGGCACCCACCTCCGTAATGCATATATTATGTATGTTTGTGTGTGTAGATATTGTATTTATGTAAATCCATTTTATGGAGTGTTTAAGATCGATATCGACGGAAATATCGATATGCAAATTTGTGGAAATATCAATGGATATATCGTGTCACATCCCAGTCTTGACTCCACTGTAGCACGATATTGGGCGCTTTGGGCTTACCATTCTCTCACAGTTTTGTTTCTGGGAACTCACGAGCAACTTCCCAGTGGATCACCCATCCTAAGATTGCTCTCACCCAAACTCGCTTAACTTCGGAGTTCCGATGGAATTTGAAGCCAGTGAGTTCCCTTTTTGCTATAGGGAGGAGAGTATCATATAAGGCACGTCACCCCCTCTCCGTTGGTCGATGTGGAATCTCACATATCGGATATCGATTTTGATATTAGTTGCTTTCAATGGAAATTCAAAATGAAACTTTAGGGATTGTCAAATATTGGTTTAGACGAAATATAAGAGTTTTTCCAATATTTAACAAATGTGTCAAAAATAACGATGATATCTGTCAATTTCAGCCTAAACTTAAAGAGTTTTTCTGATATGAGATGAAGTTTAGACTTCAACCCCCATTTTCATATCTTCTGATTTTTTGGATATTTCCATGAAATTAAATATCAATTGTATTAAAGAAATTTTAAACACTTATGTAAGCCTTTCTCCTGATTTAGATAGGCTTAAAATTCTGATCATATATTTAATATATAGTGAAAATGTTAATCACAACTGGGTGCATTCAAGAGTGGACATAAATATTTGGCCTTTCCTAATTACCTTACATGTTTCTATGACAAGGCTCAGCGTTAGACCTGAAGGAATTATTTTGTAAAACATGTTCATTTGAGCAACATCATATAGCATGCAATTAACAATTAAAGGCGGAATCATGCTTGCATGCACTCAAAAACAAAACATTACCATGAAATTCAAAGCCTAGTAGATTGGTGAACCAATAATCAACTCAAAACAAAGTGAGTTGAAATTAATACCTTTGTAGATTCCTCTTTGCATAAGCAAAGGCTAATCACCCAAAGAGATAGGGCCTTCATTCCTTGCTTCTTAGATCCATGGATTTGGATGGAAGAATAGGTTGCTCCAAGTTCCCAAAATAGGGAACCTCTAAGTCTCTTCACCAAGGTTTGATTGTAGAAGAAATGAGTGACCTTGAAGTAGTAGGATTGCTAGATGTACCCTCCAAGGTGTTGGCCTCTTTAGAGAGAAAATGGAGAGACAATTCTCACCCATTTTCACCCAAAATAAACCCTTAATCACCTTAATGAATATTTGGCTATAAAGTCCTTTATATAGTCCCTTCAAATAAGTGACCTAAAGAACAAAAACCCTAATTCATCTACATGGCAAGCCTACCTTAGGATTTTTGGGCTTTTGGGCCTTTGTAAATCTTTATTCATTAAGTTGTCATACAACTTAAGTCAATGGGCTTGACATTCGAAGCCCATTGGGCCTTAAGGTCCAAAATTATCCCGAGGTCTTTAACGAACTTATTCGTTTGATTAATTAACATATTAATTAATCCATGCCATAAATAAATGATTAAACCATTTAATCATTCTTACTCATTTCCGTTTAATCTTCAATCTCCACCTTTTATGGTGTGCGATCCATTAGGTTCCTTTTAGCGAGGCAGTGGGCGATTAAAATCATTTTACATCGATTGTGAATTGAAACTATTTTTCAATTCCCCCTTTAGTGATTACACACATTTAGGGCTTCCACAAACCATGAGTGACACCTAGCAGCATATCATGGTTACCCAAGCTAATCAGAAGAGGATAGAGAACCTATTCAGTTCGGGATTACAAATGCAATACGGTCCTTCTCTAATCTAATACTCTTGACCACATTGTTTGGTATGATAGTTTATTTACTCATGTCTACTATCCAATGTGAATCGTTTGCTTATATGATTTCCTTGAATGTGATTTGGAACGCATTCCACAATCTCATTCATACTCTGGCCAGAGATTCCAAATCATATCATAGAGTATTCTCCCTCAACTGTTTGAAGGTTAGAGATCCCTTGTTGCGCATTCACTTGTCTCCATAGCTAAGTGGCTTAACCCCAACGATGCCGTGAACACCCCGAGGGGGTGACTTAGACATAATCAAAGATTAAGGACTTAACCACAAGACAACTGTGATGCCTCAGGTCAAAGGACTACTTTGCATTATCCCAACCATGAGTTCTCATGTGACATGGAATATAAGAACTCTTCGTTGATCACGTTCAGTGAACTCATTCTCTTATTGAGCACCTATGTACTTGTCTTGATGTCACACACACCAATGACTCGAGACTAGTCACTCTCCCTGAGAGAAGACACAGTACGTACTGATCTTAACGGACTGTCAATGCCCAATTGGTAATCCTATGATCAGGAACATTTAGGATGTGTCTACGAAAGAATGGTCTCATTAATCTAACTTCATTAGATTGCATTCTCCCAATCACATATTCCTTGGACTTTATCGTTTAAGCATATAACATTTATATGAGACGGCTCAAACAATAATCTTTGCCCTTTATATGTTAAACTAGATTAGTTTAACATTTGAAATGTCCGTAAAGTATCATCATATGATTGGTTTTAGGGCACATTTCCAACAAGACCTGGTATTTTTCACCCGATCCGTTAACCCGATCTGATCCGACCTGTTAAAATTAGTATTCAGGTGGGTGATATATAAACGGGTCGGGTGGTTAATGGGTCATTTTGGGTGAACCCACGAAACCCGTTAACCATCCGTTAAGACCCGTTATTGAGGACTTTTGTGTAATTTCAACAGTTCTAATAGAAAACCCTCAGGTTCCTCATGTCTCTCTCTCGCACCATCACACAGCTTTGCTCTCCGCAAGTGTTGCCATTGTCGTCGGTACTAGCAATTCCTCCCCACGTTCTTCAAAACTTTAACCCCACAGCTCCTTTTCCATTTCTTCCCCACCTCTCTCTCTCTCTCTCCTCTCTCTCTCCCTCTCCCTACAAAACCTTCATCTTCGACGTTTCTGCTAATCAGTTCATGTTATTTCTAATATCAGGTAAGTCTCTCTCTATCTCTCATTTCTTTGCTTTAGAGTTCTTATGGAAGATTGTTGCAATTTTCGGTAGACCCTTATTGTTTTCTGGATTTTGTAGGCCATTTTGTGTATGAATCAATGAGGTTCCATTATTTGCTAATATGGGTTGATTTGTTTTGTCGTAAATATGTTGAATTGCAGTCTCATTTGTTATGTATGAGCTTAAAGGGAGCTTCTTTCCCCTTCCCAACCGCTCGCTTTGAATTTGTCAAAATGTTAATTTCGAAATGTTAGCCATAAATGTTTCGATTTGGGTTTGTTTTGGTTATTTGTTTATCCTTTATGCGATGAGGATACACTTCAAAAGTTATGAAAATTTGAAAATTGTAGTCATATTGTAGTTTCGAAGTATGAATTTTCTCGATTTTTCTGAAATATTGAAAGGGAGTTGGTTTTCCAGGTTCCAAAATAAAATGTAATTGATCCATTTGGATGAAATGTGTGAAAAAAAAAGGTTAACAGATGAAAAGGGTTGAAACGGGTGACCCGTTAGCTTAACGGGTTGGGTTCAGATGACCCGTTAAGCTTAACGGGTTGGATTCAGGTGACCCGCTAGCTTAACGGGCCGGGTTGAACCCGACCCAAACCCAATAAACCTGACCCGTTTACAGGTCTACTCAGTGTTACTATAACGCCTCCCTCCATCCGGCCTCCAAAAAGGATATGAATTTATGATTCCATGCAAAATTTGGTAGTCAATTAATACTTAGTTAAATCCAAAACATGATGCATTTAAAAAAATACTCATTTCCCAAAAACTGTGTGAAAGGAAGAGCTTCCGTAGGCAGTCATGGTGATCAGCACTACCAGTGTGATTGACCATGAATTTCAGAATGAATTATGTGAAAATGGTTTCAATCCTCCCAAAAATGTGGAAGAAGATTTAGCGATGACGGAAAATCGAAAAGAACTGGTATGCCCTTCTCTGCCATTTTTTTAAATCTCTTTTTCTCTATTTACTTGGCTTACATTCATTTTTTTCTTCAATTTGTCTCCTTTAATAAAATTAATCTCTTTTCTCCTTTAATAAAATTTCTGTACATTTTTTTTTCCTTTCAATCTTTGGGCTGTGGAGGACTGGGTGGAAACTGGCAATTATATATAAGAACTCCATTGAAATCAGAACTACCTAGAAGCAACAGTTCAGAATTATTTTTTTTTTTTAAAGTCTAGATTATTGCATCATTTTGCTGACAAAAAAATGAATTTTTTTCCATTTTCTTTAGGAGCAATTTAAATATTTACATGAAGTATTAAACTTATGATCAAACTAACACCATTTTGATTTAAAGATATTGTTTCCAGATATGCAATTTCAAGTATGTCTTGACTCTTGAACAATTTTAATTTCTAAGAAAAAGATGGTAAAAAAAAAACCTTGGAGTATCAATAATATACAGTCATTTTTTTCGCGGTCAACTGAAATATGGCTAATGCAACAAACTTCCTTTGGATACTACTATAATCGTCGGATTCTGTTTTTGTTTGAAAATAAAAATTAAATAACTCGCCTTTAGAATGTGTAATAATACGTGGATTAGGTTGCTTGGCTTGCGTTATACGGTTGCACCCAAGTTTAAAAATTTTTATCCGTTGATTAGAGTAGGTTAGAATTATAGATTTATCAAAAGATATTAATCTTCTTTTTATGTGACATATTTGCAGGGACAGTGTGGACTGCTTGTGCGCACATAATCACAACATCAGTTGGTGCTGGAGTGCTCTCTCTGGCATGGGCAATGGCTCAACTTGGCTGGCTTGGTGGCATTTCCATTCTCTTGTTTTGCACATTTGGTGCACTTTATGCTGCCACTCTCTTAGCAGATTGCTACAGATTTCCAGACCCAGTCACTGGCAAGAGAAATTACTCTTACATGGAGGCTGTCAAAGCCTATTTAGGTAAAATAATCATATGATTTGTAAACTCTCATGCAAATTTACCCAATTATTTTTGGGAAATGCTCTCCTCTACCACCATTACTATTCTTTAACCTTTTAGGTGGAACAATTTACAAGTTCTGTGGATGGATGATATATTTAAATCTTGCTACCATTGGAGTTGGCTTTACAATAACTACGGTAAAGAGCATGATGTAAGTTTTTCTTTATTTGTGGAGGAGGAATCGGGACATTAATATCACTAGACTAATAGCTAATATGAATTTTTACATGAATTTGAGTAATCAGTGCCATATAGAAACCGAATTGCCATCGCAAAAATGGTGGTGATGACCCATGCAAGTTCTCCAACATTCCTCATGTGATTGGATTTGGAATTGTAGAAATTTTCTTATCACAACTCCCAAACTTTCACAAGCTCTCTGGGCTCTCAAAGGTTGCAGCAATTATGTCTTTTGGGTATGCCTTTATCGGAATTGGACTTTCCATGACAAAAATCATATCGGGTAAGTAACTCCTTTCCACAAAATCTGAAACCTCACCTCCCAAAATGAAAAATGAGAACGACATGGAAAGGTATCGAACAATGGAGAAATTCTTATGCATGGACGTTCGTATAATGCACCATTCACACAAAAGGTGGGCTCCTTTGCATGCATGTTGGTTCCATTTGATCCCACTTTTTGTGTCAATAGTGCCGCTTACTGACGAACATAAGAATTCTCCACACTAGGTTTAAAGTATGATTTAAAATAAGAAAAAAAAAAATTTGCTTGAGCAGGGCATGGAGGAAAAACCTCTCTTGCAGGAGTGGACCTGCCTTTATCTGAAAAAAATTGGAGGATGTTTGCAGCAGCTGGAGACATGGCCTTTGCTTGCTCATATGCCCTAGTACTTTTGGATATCCAAGTAAGACATCCCAATTTCCAAGTCAATTAGTTCTTGCTTTTCTTACTTGTGGAAGTATATTGAGGGTTTTCTATTTTGTTTTAGTTTTAGACATCATATTGCATTTTACTAATTTTCAGGACACTCTAAAGTCATCGCCACCAGAAAACAAAGTGATGAAGAAGGCTGTGTCAATAAGGGGTTTGGTTATGTTAATATTATTCATGATGTGTGTGGTCCGTTGGGATATGCTGCATTTGGAGATAAGACCCCAGAAAACCTAATGGCTGGCGGTTTTGGAGATGATATAGCCTTCTGGCTCGTTGATACGTACGGCTAATGTTTTTATTGTGGTGCACATAGTTGGTGCATATCAGGTACATATGTTTACCTTTTCACCCAAATCATGCTTCTTAAGTCTGCTCAAACACTAAGACAACAATATCACATTAGAAGATTTTGTTTTTTTAGATAGTCTGACATGTTACGTTCTCGAACTGACGATCTAAACTCACTATAAAAATACATCTCAATAGTTTAGTGGCATAGAATGAAGCTGGTAAAAGCGCTTTAAGTGCCTAATAATAACATGCATGATTATCATTGACTAAAAGCTTTAACCACCTCATTATCCTATTCAACTTATATGTTAGTGACTGTTGACGGTGTTTTATTGACTATTGATTAAAATCTTGTATAAATATGTAGTCCAAAATTAACAATATGATAGCATAACGCATCATACTATTATAGTATAAAATATAACATCAGTTGTTATTCCTCATGAGCTAAGTGAAGCATTATCTAAATATGTTGTTTGAATTGATAGTCTAACAACATAAGATGTCAAACGTAAGGTCGGATGTTATTACTTCATTTGAGCAGGTACTTTGCCAACCAGTGTTTCGAGTTATTGAACTATTGGCTAGAAGGAGGTGGCCCAAGTCCAAGTTCATAAACAGGGAGATCCCAATCAGACTTGGGAAGGTAAAGTTGAACATGAACATGTTTAGGCTGTCATGGAGGACAGCCTATGGAGTGTTGGTCTCATTTCTTGCCATAGCTCTGCCATTCTTCTCCGACATGCTGGGCCTTCTTGGAGCCCTAGGTTACTGGCCACTCATAGTTTACATTCCAGTGGAGATGCACATTGTGCAAAACAAGATTGCAAAAGGTACAATTAGATGGTTTGAGCTCCAATTGCTGAGCCTTTTGTGCTTGATTCTTTCTTTGGCTGCAGCATCTGGTGCCATTCATGGTCTGTATAAGGGTCTCAAAGCCTACAAGGCCTTCCAAATTAAAGAGTGAAGTGACCCGAAAGTTAGCATATGCTTCGATATCGGCATATAGCTTATGTGTATTAGATAAAAGGATTTTGCTAAAAAAAAAAAAAAAAAAAAAAAAGACATTTGCCTTCGCGAGTTACAATTGACTTAAGTGTTGTTAGTGGATACAATTTGAGAGACTTGTAAGAACAATCTCATTAGGCTCGTATATATGGTGTTCAAATTAACAATTATTTTCTTATTTTTAGTACATGGGAGACTTAATTATGCAGCCTTCATTTTCTACATTCACATATGCTTTTTTTCAAAGGTATTCTGCTTTTCTTCTTCTCTCTTCTTAAGCATTTCAAACTTTTAAAAGTGGTAGACTAGTACACTTGAGTTCCGTGACACACCCCGACCTAAATCGAGGCGTGATGGCCGTCACGTGAGGGTGATATAGCCAAGTGACAATGATATGAAAATGTGAGTAAATAAAAACCAAAACTAACTTACACTAGACAAATATATAAGTGCGAGTGAAGGTATTTAAAGTGTAGATACAAATAGCCAGAGCATAGGTAACCTAGATGCAGTCCAGCCAGCTAAATATTAATTATACAAGACATGAAAGAAATTCCTACATTATTTGAAGTCTGTCAGAACCGCCGTAGAATCCTCGTAAGCCACCAACATGAACATCTAACTAGAACCTAGAGGGGTGCAAAACAGAAAACATGAGTGGGCAAAAACAAAGCATTTTAAAACCATTTCTCTTTCCAAAAATAATAACTCCTCATCGTAAAACCCGTATAATTTCCCAGAAAATAGTAATACATACGTATGTAGAAATCATGCTAGAGAGTAATGAAAACCAAGTATATGCCATGTCAAGTATCTCAGCAATGAAATGAGTAAGCTAGGTGAAATAAATCAATGTAAACTGATATGTCAGCCGAAGTCACCTAACGTGACCTATACGACTAAGCCTATAGCTCATCTACCAATTCCTACACACGAGTCAGAACCACCTAATGTGGTCTGTACGATAGGTTAGGTGTAAATAAGTACGCTTAAGTGCTATGATCACATGAAGGCTATGCGAAGTATCGCAAGTCACCTACGAGTCAAAACCACCTAATGTGGTTTGTACGACAGGCTGACACCTACCTTGGATCCAAGGTGAGCGTGTGGTGCGGGAAGTGAACGATCACGTGAAGGCTGGGCCCTGGCCTCGGACAGAGCACTAACACCGGGGTGCAGGATAATGAACACTAAATGCATCTAAACATAACCATACACATTGTAATCACAATCATCAATATGCACTCACCTGAAGCTTACATGGGCGTCTGCAGCATCATGTAATAATATGCATATCTATGCTAATGCATATACTAAAATCTAATGCAATTGATATGGCATTTAAAAAACGTAAATCCATTTAAAACCATTTCTGGGAAAATGGAAAACATATATACATATATATAGAAAACCAAAAGCCCACTCACTGGTATGTAGCAGGGTCGTAACCCCCAAGTCTCGCCTGGCTACGCTCGTCCTCCGGAAACGTCTCACCTATATGTGAAACAACTAATTTAACATTAATTTGAAAGTACATAACCAAAATCGTATAATAACTTCTTATACGTTGCTCAATTGGGGTGTTTGAATATACCATTGTGGCCTACTCAACACCACAAGCATCCCCATATTTTTAGAAAAACTTTCTGGTGTCGCACGCGCCGGCCACGTGCTTGGCAGCGTTAGGGAATATTCCGTTAAATAGAAGCATGTTCCGTTAAATTTACCTGACACCGTTAGTATATCCGTCAAAGTTGACGGAATATTCTCTGTCTTCTCCAGTGGTCTTCGCCGGAGCCGCCGCCGGCCGCCGTCTGCAACGCCGGATTCTGGAAAATCTTAAAACCTTTGTTTTTACTTTGTTTTTCAACCAAATTTCACAAATCTTATATAGATTTGAAGCTCTCAACAAGGAGAACATAATCTTACCTATTTGGGGACCTAAAACCTTCAGGAACTGGTCGGAAAATAGCTCAACACAAACGGCCAAAATTGGAACTTGACAAACCCGAGTATACCGACGTTCGAAGCACTCCAAAACTAGCCTAGGATCCTTATAGAGTTGATTAAGACCCTTTTTTAGCCTTATAATCTCGTGAAATGTCCACGATCACGTTTGAGTAGCAGAGTACCTCGCCGGAGCCTATGGTTCTTCACGATTCCAACGTCCTTTCTTCTAACAAAGGGTATGGTTAGGCTTGCTAGCTTGCAAGGAACTCGAGGATGGTCCTTAGAAGTTCGATCTGTGAGGTTTTGATAGTGTTTGAAGATTGGAGGGTTCGGGTCGTACGGACGAGAAGGAAAGATAGTGAAGAGAAGAGAAGAGAGAAGAGGGTTGCACGTGTGTGTGTGTGTGTGTGTGTGGTCACGGGTTGGCCAAAAGAAGAACAAATCTCAGGCCCTAATTGGGCTATAGAATTTAGGGCTTAAGCAATTGAGTCCAAATGGAAATAAAACCAATCCCAATTCTACTTATTCATTTGTAACATTTCCGTTACGAACCCAATTTGGCCCTAACTCGCGTCAACACGCTCGTGATGACGCGTACAATTTAATTACGTCATCGAGAAAATAATATAAAACTATACGCATACATCCACGTCACTAAGCCTCGAGGGCATTATCGTCACTTTACACTCTCGGGGAGGAAATATATACAATAATTTGGGACGGGTCGTCATATTCCGTCTCACCATTGTAAACAATGCAATTTTGTATAGGATCTACAAATCAATGTGGAAGCCCACTTAGGCACTTGCATCTCTTGTTCGAAATTTTAATATTATTATTATATATTAAAATTTTATTAATTGAATATTAGAAGTGGTATTTTTTTTAGTGGAGAGATGTGTCGGTCCTAATATGAGCAATTGTAATTTTTTACTTTTCATGAATACATACTTTCTAAAGAGGTATCTCAATTTCTATAAATAGGCTGTAACAAGAACATGATTGTTATATTCTGTGAGACAAACGCCGATCAACCATATCGTAATAAGGCGTAAACTTGTCTTAAGGATAAAATGTCTAAACATTTCGACCGTAATTTCAGGTTTTTTAATCCAATTTTCAAGTGTATTAGCACTGTGTTTTTATGAGTGTGCATTAAATAGTTTATATATTTGCATAAATAATTTCTTGTTTTTATATGTGTATGCATTAAATAGTTTATTTATTTGCGTAAATAATTTCTTGTTTTTTTATATGTGATTAACCCGATTTTTTCCACCATGTCAATGTGCCTATTATCAATGTTATCTGAGGTATCACCAGTGTAGTGACTTCTATTCATGAAGCATTACAGCAAATTCGAGTACAAAATTAGGCACCCATATCAAGTGCTCTAGTCTAAGATCTAAAGACATGCGTGATATATAATATATTCCAAATTTTTTTATAACATCACAAGGATCATCTAGTCTAGCAACACTTAGTAGTTCTGTTTTGTTAGGAAAAGTGCTGAGTTGAAATCTTATAGGGGACAAATTTTAATAAAAATGAAAAACTTTTATAGCTATCAAATGCGATAATTTAGACGACATTCTTCTGATTTGCCATCTCAACTTTCACGTGTCAATTAACCTCTGCATACTATTGTTTTGGTTATTCTAATATTTTAAATTCTCCCCATAAAAAAACAATATCAACCTATGACACAACAATGTTAGCTAGAGTGCAAGAGATTCCATAAGGTGATGCATGCTGCAACCAACTAATATATGTAAATGTTATATATAAAGGAAACCTGTATATGAAGCGCACGATGTTTGTTCTTTACCTCACCAACCAAATAAGTGCATCATTCCTTCTAGATGCATGGCCCATCATGTTTCTTTCTCTAAAGTA